GAGTTTTTAAAGCGATAACACTGATAAGAAGTGAACAAAAGTATTTTGATTTAGAGACAGGTGCCGAACCGTGAAACCCTCCCTTTAAACCCTCGTGGAATATTTCTACTTTTTAACATTACTAGGGATGAATACCGACGAGTTCAAATACAAATGGGGCGGAGAGGACTGGGATCTACTCGACCGCGTGCTGATGCTGTCAATGGAGGTGGAACGAATTAGGCATCCAGGCCTTTATCATCATTATCACAGTAAACAAAACATGTGGAGTTAAAGTGACATAATAACATTCATAGAAGACTTCCTTTATGGGAAATGCCAATCATCATCGTTATCATCTTCATCATCATCATCATCATAGCCGATTCCCCAACAGGGAAATAGGGGCTTCAACTGTAAATAGTTCTGGCCCCAGTTGTTCGAAGACTGGATAACGCTATCCACCAGATAAATCGCTATCCCTTGGAGAAGTGTTGACAAAACAAGCCACGCTATCCACTGAATAGTGATTTATCCGGTGGATAGCGTTATCCACCTTTCGAACTACCCGATCCTGGATAATTTGTCCCGCAGTCAACAGGCATACACTGAACTTTTGAATTGCACATGCATTTGTTGCATTTCCCACCAGCACTGAAATACAGGAGGGGAAATAGACAATGTGATGTAGAAAAGAAAAACGAAAAAAAATCCGCGGAAGGAGACAGGTCCAAAGGTAAAACATAGTGATTAAAAAAAAAACTCATAATAAAGTCTAATTTAATGTCCGGATTAATCGGATTTTACTCAGAACTGAATGGTAATAATTTAGTTCTAGAATACTACTCTATGATTTTACAGACTATTTGTTCTATAGATATTTTAGATATCAACTTATATGGTGAGCCGAGCGGATATTCGATATTTAATATATGTTTGTATCACAGAGAGTTGTAAGCTTCAAAAAAAGAGTCGCGTTGAAACCAAGCAGTAACATACATTGCAAACGTCTTCTGTAGAACATTTGGTCAATCAAACAGTTGTAAAAGAGGAGGTTTAAGCAAAGGAGGTCAACCGTATTCCTCGTATTTACTATTTCAAATTAATGGCTGTCGTTAACGCCGGTCTTAATGAATAGGGACTTCCATAATGTTTTCCATGAGTTTGAAAATGCAAAAAGGAAAAAGAAATGCTTTCAGCTTTTCTTGATAATAGCATTTGTTTGTTCTTGATGATAGCATTACCAAGAAAAACTAAACGATTTTTCCCATTTTAGCCATCGCAACCCATTGAAAGTTGCATTAAATATGATTGTTTTTTTAGTGAATTTAAGTAAGTGGGAAAAGATAACTGTGCCTTCCTCTCAAATGAAAATGGACGTAAAATATCCCGACCTTAAATTTTCGGTGAGATGGAAAAAAATGGTACCCGCTTCCCTTTCGCACCTTACACAAAAATCAGAGAGTTTCTGTACAAATAGTTGATTACAACAATATGGCCTTTACAAATGACTAACTATTTTGGTTTCAAAACTAATGACGGATTTTATGTATCCTTTAATCTATTTTTTCCACTGTGAGATGAGGACCATATCGTACGATTGTATTCCGGTTTCCTGTAGCATAAAGCAACCAGGAATATTTTTACTCACCTTGGATGGGACGCTAGTCCATCAGAGGGTCAATTACCTAAAGTATTAAATTCGCCGGTACTTTTTATACACCTGGGTGGAGAGAAGCAATGTGAGAGTGAATTTGCTCGAGAGTTTTGCAGCGTTTACATTGAAGACATGTAACTTGACTCTAATTTGCATATGTTGGAGGTTATCATAGTGACTGTAACGTTATACTTCTGTTTTACGTCTCGGAAAAAAATCGTCACAGCAAATTGCAGGTGATTTTCTCCATTTCTGTTCTGCATTTGAGATACGTTTTGGTCGCACAACAAGACAAATGGTTGATTGTTTCAGCATCAAATTCGAACAGCAGAGTGGTTTGACATTTTTTTGTTGTTGTTGTTTTTTTGTTTGTTTCTCTATAATTTTTAACCTTTTTTTTTTCCTAAGTTCTATTGATTGAAATTTTTTTGAAAGAAGTTTTAGTTTCCAAGAAGGCAACCTTTTTTTTCCAGGAAGTGCTTTTTTGCGCCTTTTCAAACGAGATGTGGTAAACTGATCTGCTGTAAATGCTTCGTGAGATATTATGTAAAGTTTATCATTTGCTAAATTTGTTCTTTAAAACCGTCTTGAATGGAATGAGTTAAATAGCATGTGTTGGTTTAGTTTACCTAGTGAATTGTTTGGATCATATTCATGATAAATTGC